CTCATTACTTTATGCCTTTGTTAGATAAACAATGAAGAAACTAATACCAAAAAAATATTTTAGGATTGCCCCGTTGCAGACATTTGATCCTGGGAACTTCTAATGCCAAATTTCAGCACACACAGGTCTTTGCTTTATAAGCGTTGGTGCAGGGGTGTCCAATACATCATGCATAGCTTCCATGCAATTGCTAAGGAGGAAAAGTAACTTTTTGTCACTTCCTTGTTCCAAACAATTATGTTGCAAGCTAATGGTGTATTCACTTTAAGAGACAACTTATAAAAAGTATCCTCTGAAGTATATACATGTGTAAAAGCCTCAGAGGACTACTACACAGAAACTTATTAACACATGTTTTTCAAAAAGCTCTGAGGAAAATGAAAAATATTTCAAGAGGAAAAATAAGTACTCTGCTCCTTGTTTAGGTGCACACATGTAATCCTCAGCTAATCATATCCCTCTGTAATGTACTGTTCAGCACTGAGAGAGGCCATTACTGAGAAGAGGTAGCACAAGGTAAATGCCAGCGACAAAATGCTTCTCAACAGGATGAAAGAGCGACTGAACAGTACATTTAACAAAATGACATGGACCATTACCCTGCAGCACAGGGCTTTCAGCAGTTTTAGTCAGGTATGGAAAAGAGGTCTGTTGAGAGCAGTTATTGTATTTTAGCCAATTATTTACTATATGCATGATAAGGTACCCTGAGATATCAAACAGCTCTCTGGAATTTTTTTGTACTGTTAAACAATTTTCCATGAAATCCACCACCATTTAATACTGTACTCATAAACATGTTTTGGTTGTTCTTGGACTCTGTTTTAACCTGTGTCACTCAAAAGAGAGGTGTGTCAAGGAACTGATGCAGAAACAGTGGAAGAGCACTACGATACACTAAGACCAAAACCAGAACAATTTCACAATTTTCTGGAGATGACTGAGGTGCTGCCAATCATTTAAGTTTGATGGGTGGACTCATTCCAAATTTTATTCTGACTGCCATGTTCAGTAACTTCTTGAACAACTTCTAGTATACAGACTTCTATACATAATATTCAGTAGTTACCAGCAAAAATTCTAAATCCTGAGAGGCACTGGGGCAAACAAAAAAACTTGCACCAGTTTTAGCCCACACTATCTGTGGACCACTTCTGAGTTTTTATTTCTTAAAGCTGTATCAATGTTTGCTATAATAGCATTTACTTGAAAAGGAGATTGAGAAGCAATATATAGAAGCAAAGAAGATATATATAAGGAATCCATCTTTAAGCAGTCCATGGCTCCAAATGGCCTTCAAAAAAGAAAAAAGATTTGCAGTAACTATTTTGTTTACAACAGCGTAGCTTCACGATTGCTCCTTTAGTTCTTAAAACTATCCCACTCCTCCCCATCATAAAAAGCTTTTAATGGATATAGCTTCAGCACCATAAAAACAATATTCTCTTCCAAATACAGAAATTAACAATCTGTAATTCTTCTGCCAAGGTAAGGCAGAATAACATGGAAGTATTCTCTAGATTTCCTCAGCAATCTAGATAATCCAGAATCTTACTAGAAGAAACACCATGCAATTCAAATGCATAACCATTCCCAAATTTTCACAGGTAAAAAACCAAATGAAAATGTGAGTATACAAGAAATGTAAACCTTCTGTCCCTGTATGTAATTGAGGTACAATAGACTTCCAAAGCTTTCAAAATGGATATAATACTCTGCTTTGTTATCTACCAACACATATTTGTGAAGTATTCTGTGCTGGATTGTTTTCAGTTGTTTGTTTGTTTGTCTGGGGGTGCTCCATCATTTTATTGGTTCTTGTTTGTTTTGGTTTTGTGTTTGTTTCTTTTTTAAGAATTCAGCTTCTTAAACTACATTTCTAGGACACCGCCTGTACCTTAAAGTGAAATTTGAAGATAAAACCTCATTTGCTAGAAAATCTTCAGAACCTGAGGACACTGAAGAAAGACAAGCAGCACTTAGCTGTACAGAAACACCTGATATGGAATAACATGTGCATTGTTTGATGTGAACAGATTTGTAACTGCTTCCCTAGACAATAAAAAATCTAGACATTTGCATTCACAATTGCTTTCACAGCATTTTTCTAAGGGTCAGTCTGTACAGCAGCTGCTCTATCTTCTGCTTTAGTAGAAGTCAAAGACAATTTTTGTCACCAGCAAAGAGCGTGAGTAATGCTCAAAAAATTTTGGTGGATACTCTTTGGATTTGAATATTTCTGTTAATATTCAGAGCAAGTAAATACTGTAAAATACTTTAAATCTACTTAATGTTAAAAGAATGTAATTTTGATTTGCAAATAAATATAGGAAAAGTTAGACACTTGAAATTAAGGTCATGCTAAAATGTCCTATGACAGTGAGATCTCTGATGAAGCTCTTCATTTTATTTAAATAACCACTGAAGAATGACCTGAAATCTACTCACTAGGAAGAGTAAGAGAAAGGTGGGGAGATGGGGGAATGCAGTCATAGGGTAGTTCTCCCCTAGACCTAAAAAGACTTATTTATCAAAAATACAAGTCCACAGACAAAATATTCTCTTCTGCATACATTTCAACCTGCTAGTCACAATACTCTCAATAAAGGAATCTCACATTCCAAACTAAGTACCAAATTGGGCAAAAGGGAATTTTCTCCTTCAATGATCTTTGCTGAGTCCAAATTATCAGATTCAGGGGACTAGCTGTCAATATAAACAATTCTTTAGGCTGCCAGTCAGTATACTGAGTAGAAAAACACTGATGTTGTAGATGAAAAGGTTTTATCTAAATGCCACCTTCTTATGGACAGGTTTTTAATTCTGTTACTCCCTAGCTTTGTCATCTCAGCTTGCATATGTTATACTATCTTCTTTGTAAAACAAATAAAATTCAGTTATTTATAACTTGCAATCCACATAAATAGAAGGCCACAAAACTCAGGCCTGTGATAATAAACGATGGTTGAAATTATGGATTTTTAAAAACTATGATCTAAAATTCTTTTTTAGAGGTAAATACTTTTAACAGATAAGATTAGTGGCTTCTTTTTTTTTTTTATTTTCTTTTGCTTTATTTGTATTAAATTTAATAATACCTCAGAAAACAGTTGTGGTTAAGGTTCAGTTTAAAACAGGAGTGATGACAATTGCCTAAGAGCTGGCTGCAGTACTGATGATGCTAAGAATGCAAATGTCCTTTGCATTTTGTCCCTCAAGGTGTTCTATTTCTGTACCACAGCTGACGCCTTCACTTTCCATTTTCACCATGTAAACAGAGACATGGAAATTGATGGCTATATGAAACTTAGGTTTACATTAAAAAAGAATCATTTATTCTTTGTCTCAATTAAAAAGCAAAAAGATACAAGTATTTACTTCAGCTATCTCTAAGACAATAGTAAACAAAATGTTAGGTACTACACCTTCAAAAAGCAATAAAGAGCAAACTACGAATCTCATAAATATACTAAATTTGCACCCTGCTAAATGTATTTGCTTGATGATTACAGTATCCCTACAATTAAATTCTAATTACCCTGCTTTGCAGTAATCAATTCTTATCTACACCATTAATTCACTTATTGGCTTCCTCTCTCCAGCAATTTATTTGCTTGCCTGTGTTTCATCCTTCCTTCTTTTAACAGCCTACATCAACTCCAGCAGTTTTTGTTCTTCCCACACTCAATTTTCTCTCTTCTGATCTTTTCTATCCCCAGAGAAGGCTACTCCCACCGATTAGTGGTTTCTTATCAACTTCCCTTCTATAATTTAATTCTACATAGAAACTCTACCCCAAATGCCTGCATCCTAGTATTGTCCCCACCAAGTAGAATTTAGTATCAGAAGCCCTTACCTTTCATTCATCTTTCACAAACCTACAAAATGCAATAAATGTTTGTTTCTGATTTTTAAGTTTTAGCCAGATAATAGTGTCAGATCATACAATTTAATAAACTGCAGCTCTTCACTATTCTCATCAACATGTTTATACATTTTACAAATATCTTATTACTGAATACAACAGATATATCCCTCTCTCCTTGAAGTCAGCTTCTCACAAGCATAGTCATTCAGACAGCTGCAAGACAGGACATCTTTGGTAAAATGAATCCCTGTCAAAATTAGCAGTTAAAAATGTTTTCTTTTACAGTAGTAATTCTGAGTAATTCTGAACTATCTGTAGCATGAAAAAGTGTGCAAAGCCTTGTCTTGACTTTATGCTTTATGTTAACATGCTTTTCTTTCAGTTTTGAAGATTTTTATAGACCACCATAGTAAAATGATACTATAAGAAGAAAACTGCAACTGTAACAAAACAATTTTAAGGCTAATATCTGGAACAAGTGGGAAACTGTCTCTGCTAACTGAATAACCCAAGAGTATGTAAAACCCCTGGATCCTTCAGATGAGAAATAAAGGCATTTCCTTTAGACAGCATGCTCAGACACTGGGGCAGACTAATACAGCATGAACACATTTTCATTACATAAAACTGCCCCTCAAAATACTCCTTCCTTAATTTCCTTAATGACCTTTTACTCCTCTTTATTAAGAGGGACAATATTTTCCTGTAAGGAAAATGCTAAATTTGAAATTACAGTCCAGATAATGATTATGGAATTCCAAAAAATATTCGTCCTTTTCTAGTTTTTGGGTTTTTATAAATGCAATATTAAACAGCATGTGAAATTCAGCTCTGGTATATTATTCTGATATTTAACGAAGACCTATTTATCACTTGATTTTCCAAATAAAATGACTATCCCAAAATATCTTAGATGTGCACTTCTGTCTCAAGCCAAAAACCAGAAACCTGACTCATTCCCTGCTTTTTAACATAATTAATAAATCACATGGCATTTCTGATCCGGGATGGTGTTTATCAAGCTTACAACAGTTACCAGTACAGTGCAGCTCCCACACTTCTCCAGAAGAAAAGACAGCATACTACCACATTCAAGAATTCAGATTTCAACTGTGAAAAAAAAAAATCTTACTGGTCTGACATCCCCACATGAGTTGGTAAATTGCCGTGCTAAGCCAAAATCCAGCATAAAACACTTCCTACAGGTGCTTGGAAAACGTCCCATTGCGAAGTTTGACTAGGAAGAAAAGCAAATACAGAATGATAGATGAATACACACAAGTTTCAATGTGTTCACATATTAATGCAATAACACAACCAGAAAATTCATATTCTATTTCTCTATCTTTCCATTCATGTTTTCACTTCACTGAACTCCCAATAAATTTGAAGAAAATGTTCTTAAGAAAAACAATCACCCAACTTAGAATATCTGAACAGTGGCCTATATTATCCTAAGAGATTGTCATCTTACGTTATCACTTAGAATATATTAAATTTTGGCAAGAATTTTCTAGTTATGTCAACTAGTCACAGAATTTCAGCTTTGCCTAATTTGTCACAAGGAAAACAAACAACCAAGGATTTCAAGATTTGAGTTCAGTACAAAGCACAATTAGCTCCAGCTAATTCTTTCTCACCAATTTCACTTAACATTCACTGCCTCGATGCCCTTTTCCTATTAAATGAAGGCTTAAATGGGGAAGGGTCAGGGACAATACAAGTTTTATAAAAGTTGCCAGGAAGAAGTAATGCAAATGAAATTTTTCTAATGTACAGAAACTTGTTGGAAGTTTTATGTAATCATCATTAAGCTGACAGGAAACAGCAATATATGTCAAATATAACCAACCATATTTGCATCTATTAGAAAACACAAAGATTAGTTTATTTTTTCCTCATTTACAAATTCTGACAGTTCAGAGTTCTAATGATATTTGTCTTACAGACCAATATTAAAAATAGGTGAATTGAATTTCAGGAATAAATTCAAAGAAAATAGAAAGTAGTAAGAACAAAAGCATGATACCATTAGGAAGGCACTCTCCTCATACTGACACATTAGCAATAGATCTAATAAGAATTGCACAATAAAACAATAGTTTTCTCCTGCAGTCTGTCTTTCATTTCCTTGTTTGAAAATAAATTAAATACATACTATTGAAGGACTTCTAAATAAACTCTACAGTTAGTATCTATTATTTTATCACATGACAATATTAATTGCCATTAGTCAAGCACATTGTTGTATCTCATGGCAAATACTCTTGGTTACATGATGCTAAAGATAAGAGTTGGAAGTTTCAACTACAGCAAATTGCAAGGAGGCCTTAAGTGGAGACAATGAAAAAGACCAAAATTACTTTTGTTGCAATCCAAGATTAATTAATAGAAAAAATTCTGCCCTACCTGATGATTAAACATCTAATTTTCCATGCCTTCTCAATTTTGCATTTTAGCATCTAATATAGAAGCTATTTTTATTTAGGCAGCCATCTAATGATCACTTACTGGTTTTATGTCCCTGTGCAGGAATCCCACAGAATGAATACTTTCAATAGATTCCAAAATCTGCTTCCCGAGCCGCAGAGTGGTGCTAATGGTGAATGTCCCTCGAGATTGGCTACGACGCAGGTCTGCCAAGTTCCGACCCTGAGCAAACAAATTAAAAGCACATTTCGTAAAAAAATACTAATGCCAAGATTCACAGATGCTGTAAAGTCTTCCTACTTCTTTAGTTGTCCATGATTAAACATTAAATACTCTCAACACCTATTTCCACACTCAAGGGTAACACATCTCACCTAAAAGTAATGACTGTATGTTCTCGAGTATCTCCAACAATAAATTTAGAATTTTTTTTTTAAATATGAACCTTAGTACCTTCCTAGTCCTAAAAACATAGGACAAACTAATCCTCATTAGAATACCAGTACAAATACTAATATTTAAAATTGTATTTGTATCACACCCAAAAAATGGCCACTGAGAAAATGCTAATGAAGACTTCACACTCATTTCTTTCAGGAAAATACATAATTTAATTACATACTATATGAAACAGATGGAAAATATATTATGTAGGAAATACAACCCTATGACATCACAGAACTGTTGTTCTAAAATAACAGACGAACAACAGTATGAACTACAACATACATTTTTGATTATTCATATTCACCAGGATGACAAAGGACATTAATCCCATAACTCTAAGTGCTAATCAACTATTTAATCCCTTTTTAAATGAACAAGTCTTTCAGTAACATGAAGTGTTTTCTTTTATTTGCTTGGTGTGATTTTTGACTTTTATAAAAAAAAGACAACAAAATGCAGAGAGTAATATAGTAATATAATACATTTTAGACTATCTTCAAGTGAAGATTTAAAAGGAATGTAAAATATCCCAGAAGACATCACAGTTCACTCTTACAACAGTTAGATCTTTCTCAAAATGGAAGCTTTCTCCTTTTTGAGAGAATTATGGAAAGGATATAAAAGGAAAAACATATAAGGATATGCTCAATTTAGGTTCACTTACTACAATGCATTTGTGATCTTTGGGATTTTGTTTGTTTGTTTAGCATCCTCTAAAATCTTATGGATATTTTCATCTACACTTGGCTAATAAACCTAAACACACACAAGCAAACATTGAGCACTTTGATACACTAACCTGCAACTGCATGACCACATAGTTAAACCTGTCGTTCCGCCCACATCCTATGAATCTACAGACATGATCTTTTCCTAAGAGAAAAAGAAGCAAATTAGCCAATAATAATAATGAAATTCTGTGGTTTATTCCTGTAAATACCTAGGAAATTATTGGAAAACATGTAAAATAATAAACTAAGCCCTACACAGTTCAATAGCAATAAAACCCAAGTTAGTTCTACCTGCAATTAAACAGAAGCTTTCCCATACCACAGCTCTCACTCTTCCATAAGAAAACATGCACAACAACTTGCCTAAACCTCCACAAATGTGGGGCATTTTGGACTGGAAAAGGTTATTTTCTTACAAAGCCAATGGTTTGTAATAGACAATATTCCTAGCCAATATTCCTCTTTTCTATAAGCTGCCATGATGAAAGAAAACACTTGTGAGTTATGTTTTATATTAAAAAATTGCAGTAAATGTAATTCAACTAATTCAATTTATTAATATATTTTCCTAGAACAGAATCCTTGCTCTTTAGCTACAGAAGATAAATTCAGCTCAGGTATACTGAAACAGAAAAAAAAAAAAAGAAAAAAGAAAAAAATCAGAGTTTTGAGAGTTTTGTTTAAGCTGATTTTCTTTAAAGCCTCCTCCTGTCCTAGGAGCAAACAGTGGAGAAGACAGGTCAAGAATAATCTCCTTACTATCCTGCAGTTGTAAGTCAAAGCAGAAGATTCCCCAGGTAAATGCAGAGAAAAAGGCAAGCCAAAGGCTGCAGCTGGAAACACGAAGCCAACCTCCTGTCATCTTGGTACCAGTGTTCAATGACCTGGAGAAAAGCTGGGACCCCTTGTGACCCAACTCTGCCCCACGCCACGACAGAACAGGGAACTGTAGGATTAAAGCTCCTCAGGCCAATTCCCTTCCTTTCTCACACCAATGGAAGCTACAACCAATAGAAAGCTGATGATCTCAAGTAGTTGCTGAAGATGGCACCTAATATTTTCTATCATTAATTTCTTTACCCTTAGGATTACAAGAATGTCATAAACAGGGAACCTCCACCCCCCTCATTACTGTTTTCAAAACACCATCATGTCTTGCTAATTACCTGAGGGGACTTTTTGCTACTGCTGTGCTTGTCGCTTCATCAAAACCCTAAAACTTGACCCTACAGCTTTTAAATATTTTCAATTCACTTGACAGAAAAGTGGTTGTCTGTTTCTTGCTTCCTCAGGAAGCTGCTTGCCACATCCAATTTAAACAGGTAGGTAGGCTCTTTTAAACAAAGAAAATCTTACAGGATTCATCAAAATAATTTGTTCTAAAAGAAATCTCTATATTTCTGCAAATACATAAGTGCTAAACTTTAAGTATCACTGGTTTTCCTCCACTTTTTCCTTCCACCCATTTGTTCAAGTAAGACAGGAAATATTACAGACAGTACCATTTTATGAAGAAAAAGGATTAGCAAATTTATCAAGTTGAAATTTTGTATATTCATTGCTGCAGTTTCCATTAATGAAGTCTCATCTCAAATATTTATGATTAATTTTACAGCCACTTGTGGGTGTTCTGAAGGAACATCTTCAGAGAAACATATTAGTCAGATTTTATCTGACAAATTCAGCAAATGTTCAAAACTCAGTTTGGTCAGAGAAATCCCATTTTGACTGGAGCACCAACTCAGTTTGTGTGGTAAATTCCCTAAAAACTTTTACATAAAACTGAGGAAAGAGGAAGGACAGAAGTAGAGCCTGAATACCTTATTCAAATAGAATGATCCCCCACCACTCCAGTGGGGCTATACACACCTACTACAGCTTTTTCCTCAGCAGGAAAACAGTATTTTCTTACCCCTGGGAGCTACACAGCTGGGCTGCAGGGTGACAGGACGAGGGTAATAGGCTGCAGGGAACAACTCTGCCCTTGGAAACCTCCTAGGGAGGCTGCTAAGGCTGCGTGCCATTCCTCAGGCTGCTGCAGTGTAGCACTAGAGCAGCTTTACAGCCTACACCAGGCACTGCCATCACTGAATTACACTCCAGAGCTGCAAATGAGTGAGGGAGAAGCCTGTAAGGTTGTGTGAGACAGAAACCAACTGAGTGAGTCTCACTCTCACTGAGTGAGATGTGATAAATCTGTCTTCTCCCATCTGACTGTGGGAACAGATGGCCTAACAACATGGTTAAACAAAACAACCATCTGTTGCAGCAGATTTCTTTTTTTTTTTTTTTTTTAACAGCAAAATAAGGAACTTAAAGAGTTAAACAATATTCTGCAATAATAATTAGGAGACAGCAGGGAGAAGAAAATTAAGATGCAATTGATGACTAAGCCGTAATAAATGGCCGTATCAGTGAGCCTAGTCCTCCTTCATAATTAAGAGAGAAGTCATACAATTACTCACATATTCCAGCATGTTTTGCTAGCTTGGAGTCTTAAAAAGAGCTTATTTGATGTTTTTCATTAGTCACTGTACCATATACAAAGTTACTACTTTTATATACTAAATTATATCACATAGTTATTACTCATTTTACCCCCGCAAAAATGACCACACTGTTTTAATTTTAAAGTTTCTGAAAGTAAAGAATGGTAAGAAATACTGCATCCCTGCACTTCTGACAACAGCTATTCTTATTTCACTTTCACAGTTTTTGTGAAATAAGATTCCAATACAGATAGATTCAAAAGTATGTTTATAACACTGAGAATGTGCCTGGGCCTAGCACAGACTAGAAGAGCTATTCTGCTCTAGACATAGTACACCTGTTTATTTAGTCTCTTCTAAAAGTCTGTTTCTTCATAATATTCTAGAAATTGTGCAATAATTTTTAAAAATCAGATCCACACATCAAGAAAATCCTCATCAACACTGCAAGCTCACCATCTCTCATTACAGAGGAAACTTTTCAAATACTTGAAAGAAAAACGATTTTCATGACAATTCTATTCCTTCCTCTCTATGTCGAATGCAACTAGAACACCTTGCAAGAAGAGAACTTAAACCCTTTGAGAAAAGGAGAATAATTATATGTATATACATACATACACATACACCAAAATGGGATAGAAGAACAAGATAAAAGTTGGTCTCAGAGGACGTATGAAAATAGAAGGTTGTTACAAAAATATCTTAAAAGAACTGTTTACAATTTCACCTGGTTTTAATTGGCATGAAAAGAAAAAACTTGAGAAAAAAAAAGACTAATTTATACATGATAAAAAAAGCATTTAAGAATAATAATTTAAAAATCTTTGAGAAGCAATTATAAAGCTTTTTATTCTGCATTTTCATCCACTTTTCCTGATTTTCCCTATGCTTCAAATTTTTAGCTCTTCCATATTGAAAACTTGTGAAAGTAAAGAAATTAATGCAAATAGCTCCTAGAAGCAAAGATTTTCTGTAAAACATGAAATGCTCCCTACCATAACCTTATTTAATAAAAAAACCTTCCAAGTACAGATAAAAAAAACGTGCATATAAAACTAAAATAGTGCATCTGTGCAAATTCTAAATTGCTACATATGCAAAAGGATATATCTATATAGATATATAGATATATCCATCTCTTCACTGCGTTTGCTTCACTGATAACCTACAACATCCCCTATCTAAAACCAGAGCAGTAACAGTGTTAACTTCCACAACAATGACTGGAGGTCACCTCTCGTTTACTATCACCACCAGCTTCTTTTTATTTTCTTTTTTTGTTTGGTTTTTTTTTCTGTGCAAGAGAGCAACAAGATATAAAATGTAAGGAATAATGTGTTTATATTGTTTTGTCATAAAGATTTTCAAAAGTGTTATTTCTAAAGATTTCATAGAAAATCTGAGTTTCAGTTATATAAAAGCTTTTATTTATTATTTGTTCAGAGAAATAACACAGAAAATAAATAACAGAATTATTTATTTGGATTATATATTATGTGGACAATTTGTCTCAGTGAATGTGTTGTTCAGATGTTTCATTGTTCTGTTCTTTTTATCTAGACGTATCCCATGAGTCAATAGAACCAAAGACTCTTCTTTTGGAATTATAGTTTCCTAACTATTCCTCTGAGAGTATAACTTCTGTAAGGCCCTATGCCAATTTTTCACACATAAATCTTTTAATGTCTCATTTTTTTTTCCATAAATATTTCAAAAGATAAAAAAGTTTTGACTAAGACAAAAAAATCACTTTTCTAATATCTTAACTGAAACTCCACTATACTGTAATTCACAGTAGAAAGTAAAAATGCATTCCAGGTACACAGTCCTGGAGGTCCTGTTTTCCTAAATACACTGGCATTGTAGTGCTACCAAATTTCAGTGTTTTCTTTCAGATCTATCCATTTCCTTATCATTTAGTTGTTTCATCTATACAATTTTAAAGACTCTGGGTTTTGTAAAAATAGAATCAAGCTCATGTGTGCAGAAAAAACACATAAACTGTTGGAAAAATTATTTCTGAGTGTTTAAAAACTCCAGGAGCTACAGAGTATATTGTTCTTCAAAACCCACTGTCTTTAGGATAATTTCTTTCAAGAACCCTGACAAATGTTTTCCAAACTTTCAATTGGTAATACTGAAATTTACTATTCATCTCTGGACTAGAAACTTTAAAATTCAAAGAAAATCCTTGCTCAGCTACAGAATACTAGATGTTTTAGTGAAATCCTTGAAACAGACAAAAGCGTAGGAACAGTTTGTTACCATCATAACATGTGACATGCCTGCCCCCTTAAATCTATAGAGGCTGTCAATTCCTGCTGCAGTGTGACCTTTACAGCACATTAGGCAGCACCATATGTCATGCAGACTTTGTTTTATTCAAACTAAGAGTTTGGAAAAAATTGGGCTGCTGACAGGAGTGCATGTATTATTCAAAATCTTCCAGATTAAAAATAATAATTTTTAAAGAAAAAGTCATTATTTAAACTTTCTTTCTGTAATCTTGCATTGTAAAAAGCAATTAAGAGAAGCCACAGCATATTTCTCTATATTGATAGCTTCATTAAAGTATCTATCTAAAGGTAAAGCAAGTGTGACTATTCAAACTCTGATTCAAGGAATTAAACCCTGGAAGTATTTCAGGATTTTACATGTCAGTAGTTTTCTCATACAAGTTACAGTACTTCAAAGTTGGGACTTTTGCTTGCAGGGACTTTTAAAAGTATGTTTCCCATTTCAGTATTAGAATTCTCATCAATACCTGCACAGCAAGGAAAACAAATATTCTTATTGCATATGCTAGATTTAGGACTCTTACATATTCAGTGCTATATAGTACAGAAAAAAAAGACCATATTAGAAGAAAAAATACAAACAAGAATAACAAAAAAGTCTAGAGCAAAAAACAAAGAGAATATATATTCAGAATAAAGTAAGTCTGAATCAAAATTTTTGCAGCAATTGAATTATTTTTGTTGTTCTTTTTATTTTCTTGTCATCCCATTTCAAACAAAAGCTTCACTGTAGCAAAACTTTCAGAATCTGAAAGAGCTTCTATTCTGCTTTTAATAATCATTTACCAAGAACATGCAAAATACAGAAAATATTTACTCAAAATATTACTATAATTACAATTTTTTTTTAAAGAAGATACACTGACATTCTACTTCTTGCAAATCCAAGATACAGCCTTACCTTGCAGCTTCTTCAACACAGCCACTTCCATTTTCAGCACTTGCTTCGGCTGCTGAGCTGATTCGACCTTCAGTGCAACGTTTTCCCGAGTAAGCAAGTCCAGTGCATCGTAAATTTCTCCAAATCCTCCACCTCCTATTTTCCTCAACTACATTGGGGAAAAAGAAAGAACAAAAATATATCTTAAAGAGAGGAGAAGAAAGAAAATAAAGCAGCAATACTTCTTTGCTCTGTCTGTCATACTCTAAACACTGTTGTATTACAAACAGATTTTAAAATAAAAATCATATCCTTCACAACATAAAAGAGCTACTGAATAATTGACCAATGTAAGGCTAACCACAGTTTGGAAGAGAGCACACCTGATCCCCATCTGCACTATTGTATACAGTATAATAGAAAAGTGCAGTAGTATTCCCAGCATGAATCTGGGCAGGGTCAGCATGCTGAATAAAGTCTTTACTCAAATAGTCACGCACAGCCCAGAGATCTTCAAATACAAATGCACAGCGACATTTTTAAAATATGCCATCTTTTTCTCTTTTCAGAAAAATGCACGCTGAATAATAAAGGTACAGTTATACAGGTTTTTTGACTTCCTGAAAAGAGAGTATTTTCTATTATATGGAGTGGCTTAAACACAGCAGCTAAATCATAAATTTCAAGAAGTGGCTAAGATTATCTTTGAATATACATCTCAAATGCTACTCACATTCACTTACAATTCATCAATATCATTCTTATTAACAGACTCAAGAAACTTGCAGCACTGAAAGTTTCATCTGTGCAAGGAAGAGGTAAAAAGAATGTTCATGGCTTACTAATTAGTTTGCACTACATTCAGAGCAAATATTAATAGGTATTTTTTCACTCTGCTTTAAGTGGTCACGGGGAACAGACACTTCTTTGGTTTTCAGTATCAAAAATGTCAATGTTGCTTCACAAAATGCCTCCCCTGGCTAACATTCTAAAGCTGATAAAAGAGAAAAGGAGACAAAAAGAACTTACCCTAAGACTGACATGGTTTTTTAAATGTCACCTGAAAACATACACTTGCTACCATTATATAAAATGTCATCTAAACAGTCCAGGGTTCTAGAGAACAGCAATATGCTGACCTATCTGCAGGTTCTGAAAATCTACAAATCCAGACCATCACACATCTGACTGAGCAGGAAAATAATTTTTTAAAATAGCTTAGGCTCTATGAATAAGGAAGAAGATAATAACACATGAATTTTCAGCATAGTACAAGCACACCAGTGGGAATGCATGGTGAAAAAGGTGACAGGAGAAGGAAAGAGGTGACACAGTCATCCTCATCTCCTTACAAACACAAATGTATCATCTAACTTAATTTGCCAGCTTTGAGAAATGGCCACACCTAGAAAGATCGGCTTTGAAGAGGTTGTTTCTCTGCTGGTGTGCTTAAAAAAAAAATTAAACAAACGAAAACACCACCATCCTAATAAAATAAATAGATTAATTTATATCCTCAGCTAAAGTACACCAGAATCATTACACCAAATAATTACATCACTCAGTATTCCAGGCACAAATTAACCTCCTTTTGATTGCAGAAAAAAATACTTTCCACGTCCTTTGTCACAGAGTCACACACATTCAACAACGAGCCCATATTCTCCTTGGTCTTTCTGAGCTGCCAACATCCCTAAAGAAGCTTTTCTTGTTGCTTTTCACAACCTTCACCAGTCACAAGCACCAGCTGAGCTCTGGCTTTCCCATATATTCATCACACAGAGGCAACGTTGCCAGGCTCCTCTTGGGCAGCCCATCCCTGTTCCCACCTTCTGTTCACTTGCATTTTGCTTTCCAGTTCACATAGCTGTTGACCACTCAACCATACTGGTCTCCTGCAACATCTGCCCAACATCTTTTACCTCGATGAGGACCACATTGCCCTTGTTTACATCTGCATTACAATTTCCCACTTTGTTCATTCGTTTCAGACTTCTCTTTTTGCATTCAGCATCTCCCACCCCAAACTCTTTCTCTCCATTCTCTCTTCGACTTCTGTGTCTTTGTACACTTCCAGGCTAAAGCAAACAATTTCCAACAAGTTTTATCTTGGTACCTTTTCTTACACTGCCAATTGAATGGCATTCTTAAACATATCAAAATCCAATTATCATTACAACCAAGTCTCTCCAAGTAGGGATTGTAGTAAATGTTTCAAAGGCAAAAAAGAGGCATCAACAAAGGATAAAAGCAAATGTTATCAGACACCAAGAAAGCAAGAGGTTATCACTGGGGAAAAATATTTTATAATGTCTTTTTTATGCTTACTTTCAAAATAGAATCACCTTAAATAACATCTAGGTTAAAACTGAATTTAATTGAACATGGATTTTTAAAATGTTCATGTCCAAAAATTTTAGATATGGTTTTCACAACTGCAAAGAACAAGGTCCTCAATAGTAAAAAAATCCAAAAACGGCATTTCAGTTTCTTCCACTGGGAAACTGTCCTATGAAATCTTGAATTCAGGAAGTCTATCACCTTAGATGCCATCAAGAAATCCTTAATATTTGCTACAGAAGAAATTGAAGAGTTACTGACAGGAAATACTTGGCACTCATTTACCTGTTAATACCCGATCTGGAAAACATATGAGTGAAAATGCATAATTACATGAAATGAACTTCAGCCTACTTTCAGAATTTTCCAGAAGACACTTAAGTCATCAGCAGTCTTCATTACATAAGAAGGAAAATAAACCAGAAGAAAACACAGCTACTGTTGCACACATCAGACAACTAAGTAGTTTTGTGGATAGTGATATATTAGTATGTTATATATAGTATATGTTATGTTTTATATATATATATATATTATATCTATTGTATTTTGTATATTATTGTATATAAAATACTATTTTATACTATTTGATCTGATTCAAGACTATACTTTCTGGTTTTGCTTCACTGTTGTATTGAGATGAAACATAAGGTATTTTACAAACATTTATACTCCAGAGATAGCTATTTAGGTTCTATTTACCTAAAAGGAAATACAAAGATTTCCTACACAAAGTTAGTATCCTGCATCCAAAGTTAGTATGCTTCCTGCATTTTTAAATGAAAGATAAGGCACAAGACAGTTGAAACTATTCTCTCTTATTAATTTTAAATTAATAATGATTTGTATCTTCTATGTTCAGTCTTACAGTTCTAAACATCTTGAAATAGGGGAGTAATATAAAGCAAGCAATTCAGAATCCTTTCACAGCCTACTACACACACAGATACTCTAAATGATCTATTGTGAACTGGCTTTTTTTTTTTTTTTAATTCTAAGTTAAAAAACCCAAAGTGATCAGAGGAATGGAGGAGGAACTACGAGAACTCAGCCTGTTTCTCCCAGCAAAAATAGCTTCAAATGGATACTGTTTCTCTCATGATGCAAATCAAGGATAGGAACAGCAAAAGGGAACAGAGCTATTTATGGTAAGGCCAATGCTGGCACACAATCAAATGAATACAAATCAGCTGAGAATAAATCTATGCCATAAAATCCAACACACAAAAGGAAGAGCAGCAAGGTCCTGTAAGATCTTCCTGTAAGAAGTAACATATGTCACAAACTCACTAGTTTCAGTGGAGGGCATCTGACTGATCTCCAAAACAGACTGACATAATCACTGATCAGGTTCAATATACTACCAGTACTCTTCCAGTTGTGCTTGGATCAGGCACTACATTGGGATTTAAGAGCTCTTCTAGGTCCTCATCAGGAAAGAAAAAAAAAAATAACCCACTTTAAATCCTCATAACTTCTCTTTAAAGTAGAGTAAGAGAAACAAGTAGTTTTAAAGCTCATTCACAATTTCATGTAAGTATTAAGGAAAATATATCTCACGAGAATTTTCAAATTGCCTTCAGAGCACAAACCACTTCTTTCTAAAAACATGTTTCAAAGAAGACACAGAATGGCAGGAAGGCATACTCACCACCTTCCATCTTTCTTTGACCAATATTCCCACACTGAGGATGTCAGGCTGATCCCCTCCTCCGCTCATTGCAACCTCCGGAGGCGATGGAGCTGCTATGCAAAGTCCGCGTCAGTAGAAACCATCCAGGTCCCAGGAATGGCTTCCATTTAACCAGTCACTGCAGGAACAGAGCACAGCACGGCATCTCAGTGATCAGCACAGTAACAAGAAATACACCAAAAGTTGTTTCTCACCCAGCACCTTAACTAGTTTTGGTATCCCACACTGACTAACGCTGAAATTTTAGTCAGTTTCCAGTACAGAAAAAAAATTCAAGGATATCCTTCCTTAATTTTTCAACTTGCTCTCTCAAATCTCCAATAAAAAAATCTCAATATAGAACTAATGAACTTAAACATTTTCAGAGGTATATTCCACAAGCAGTTTCAAATTGCTGCAAGGCATAATTACATTTAAACTTAATTCTAATAATCTCTTTTAAAATCTAATTAATGACTTATTAAATAATTGTTTAATTAATTAATAGTAATATATAACAACATTAAAATAATATTAACCAAAAATTACAATGTTAATAATACATACTAACATTTCAGTTCCACTGCATACAGACTAATTCACATTTTACAATGTGTTTCACGTAACTATGATTATTTCTGATTAAATCTAAACATCTGAAGTAGAATTATTTCAGGCTATAAATAGCTGTCTTTGATAAGGAAAAAAACCCCTGTCTTTGGTAATTTCGACAGTTTGTTTTTTGATTTTTTTAAATTTTCTGGTTTGGGCAATCATTGCTGAATTGGATTACAGTATTATAAAAAATTGTATTTTGGAGATTAATATATCCATAATGGCACCCATCAGCAACTACTACAACCAATTAAAAGCTTATTTCAACTCTTTGAGTTTTTCTAGAACTGTGCTGATTGTTACACTGGTGCAATTATACAAATGCAAGTCTTTGTATAAGTGCTCTTATTCAAAGACAATACTCTTCAAAAAGTATATTTGCTTTAGGTTATTTCTGTGGCTTTCAAAGTAGCATAACTTCAGGTGAACAACACTTTTCTCCCTGAACCAACTCACAAATGATATGCAAAATTGGCAAAACCATTCTGATTTAAATCAGCAGTATGGCCTTTCATGTGGCTAAATGCCAATCTTACTACTGGGACTAAATTATGCTCTTTTAATAACACTCTGCTGCTTAAATAACCTGGTTTTTTAAGACAGGCATTTGTTTGACACGACAATAACTGGTTTTTTCCATGTATTTTCATATTTCTTTTTCATATTACATTTATGCCTTTTTGCGTCAATTGGACATTATGACAGTTGAATCAGCTCCAAATAAAACAGACCCCTCTGGAGAAATATTAATCTGGATTAGTTGAGGATCTAAATTTACACCCAATGAGAGTGGATTACATGCCTGTAAAGGAGTGTTCATTCAGAATACACGCCTAAATTGGTTTAATTCAAACAAATGAAAGGAAACCAAATTAAGAGTGTGTATTCTGAGTAACAGCACCCATCCTGCAATTTAATCAGGTTGAACTAAACCAATTCAAATTCTACCAGTGATAGTAAATTCTCCCCTGCAGAGAAGGTCAAAATTCTAAAAAGAACTAGAGCCATTTATGTGAATCCCTTAACATTACTAACCACTGACCACACTTACAGTCCTTTCTAACAGAATTATCATAACACAGTCAGGAACAAAGATGAGACAAAAATCCACAAATGAAGGGGAAAAAGTCTATTTCCAAAATTACATGCTTAAAGCACATACCATGGCTTTTCCACCAACTCAAATGTTTGCTTCTCTTTCCACCACCCATCAGTTACATCAAGGCTGATCTTCACAAATAAATTGTTCAGTTCTATACTGGAACTTCAAGAGAATTTATTTTTCCTGATATTTACTCAAAACAAGTAATGGTGAAACAATTCATCTCACCAGAACAAAATGTAAAATTGCAAGTAAGATTTTTGCTGAAGCTTTCAAACATAAGCCAAATTCATCACTTGTAGGGAAAATAGATGCTTTATTAAATTAAAGATATGACTGTTCAGCGTTTTTTGTTAATACTTCTATCAGCATACTGATTCCTGATATGATACTCAACTTTTTTTTTAATATATTTAAATTTACAATTTAAGAGTCACAACTCTGACAAGTATTTCTGAGAGCTATTGATTTGTAGATTCTTGAGCAGACTAACAGCATCAGCAACTGGTCCAGAATGCAAAGGTCCAACACATACATTCAAAGAACCACCCTGTATATTAAGAATTGTCACAGAAGTATTCTATTATTACTGTATGTAATATCTGCATGGCCAGGGTAACAAAATCTTCATTTGTACACAATTCCTCAATTCCTCACTAATTCCTTCTTAAATCTCTTGTCATCCTAGATCATTATAAACCAACAATATCTATTTTATATCATCAAAACCAAGTATTCAAAGCAATAAAACACCAAGACCCATTCAACTATCATGCATGGGAAGCAAAAGTTCTCTCCTGAGCTCCTGAAGACAAGGTGCTGAGCACCTCCTGAGGCATAATAACAAACTGCAAGCATTATAAACATGTTGACATTTTGGTAACCAAATTCCATTTACAGTAATTTCACGTCATTTAAGCATCTAAACATACTTTTTTTAACTTCCTGTAAATTAATACATTTAGCTTCAAGCCTTCCTTCACAACCATGGGTCTTTTACATGGTTCTCCTTCAAAATTCTTCTCCTTGCTCCACATTCTTCTTGTGGTATGGACAGCAACAAGGAGTTAGACATCCACACTGAATTAGACTCTATCAAATCAATTCCCAATATGGAGAAAATAGGTTTTCTTATTATTTCTTTGTGATAGAAGTCTTATTTCCCTAATTTAAGTCTGAAAAGGCTTTATGCTTTTGCTAAACCACAACAATATCAGATGCTTATACACCTCCATCCTTACACTCAGGCATTGGTACAAGAATATGGTTTTTAAAGTCCTTATTCACAATCTGATCTAGGCAGAGTTTCATTGCTCTGATGTGCTCTCTAATGGTCTTAACACTGTATAATCTGCAAGTATGTTAATTATTGATGTACTGCAGCAGATAAATATCTTTATATTCCTTACCTAAAAACAGATAATGTGCATTCTAGTAGGTGCAATTCAGGTTACAATCACCTTCTCCAGATTTATACAGAAGAAAACGACATTATTAGAGATGACTACATTTAAAGGACTTTTGGACAGATAAAAGTATGCATTCTTTGGAGGTAGTTCTCAGGTCAAGATGGAAACTGAAATTTCTCTGAATTTGGAAGAGTTTTAATTCAGACTGCTTGGCCCATTCCAAATTCCACAGATGAATTAAACACTCATAAAAGTAAATACAGCTGCATTTGTATTACTGAAATACATTGTTTTCAGCATAGCTCTTTAACAGGCTACAATGCTGTTAACAATTTAAGAAATGCATGTTCTGTATTCTCCAGCATGTTCTGTATTCTACTAAAACAGATGAATAATTAATGACACAGTTAAGATGCAAGATTTCCCTTACTCATTCAGCAGATGAATCCTTTAGCAGTGCAGTTTTTTAGGCGGCAGTAAGGATATTTTCAGCACAACAAACACATCTTTATAATTCTCCTAAAAGGGTAACAGCGACTGTAATTGCAATATATCTCATCAAATTCTGTATTCATTAACTTATCACTTTTCTTACCAGATCAGTTTATTACTTCAGAGGAACTTTTCAAGATAACACAACTACCACAACTAAAGACAATTAGCCCTCTGTCAAAATTATTTCCAGACGACAGGTCATGGAGTAACTAGGACAACACAATGAGGATAGACTGTTCCATAACATAAGCCTTTGCTGGGAACTGATTACAGTATAAAACAAGAACAGGTAAAGGAACATTAGAGCTAATATCTAGAATACAGTACAAACAGACATCCATTATTTAAAACCCTTCTATCCACTTTAACTGATTTTAACTACACATCAGCCCTGCAAAAAATGGATTTACCCCATCCAAGTAAGAGACTATATGGTCTTAGAAAACACAATGCAACATTTCCAGAAAAAAAAACACAATCTTTAATGTAATTTGTGTGCATGTATATAATCCCCTTAGAGATAGACTAAACTGAAGCCAACCTCTGCTTACCAGCCTTTATAGATGTTTAAATTCAGACCTAAAGTTGAGAAAGTAGCAGAGACAATTTTGGCTGAATGGAGGTGCTGTAAGTTCCAGGACAAAGCAAGAGAGCACACAAGATTACTGTTCCATAGAAAGGAATACATGTCCTGTTGCCTCCACTATGAAACGGTATCAACCTTTTACTATTAGGAGCTCCCTGAGCATATTAGGAGCTCTACCTGCCTGCCTTCAGCTCATTAAAAAACTAGTAAATTAACTGCAATCTACCTAAGATGATTTCCATTTCTATATTTTCTGTTTTTAAGTAGAACTTAAGGAACAAAGAAAATTTTAGAAGGCCAGCATAAAGAGTAAATCAGGGTAGGAAATGTTCAAAGGCCCTAATTTCATCACATTTACAGTAAAGTTCACTGCCTTAGAAAGGCTAAGAACATTTTCAAATGGTTAATTCTAGGGATAGAAATTATTTAAATACGTCTATTTGAACATCCAAACTAGAAAGCCATCCTACACTTAAACCTGAATATTTTCTAAATACATTGATTAAAAGCTGATGTTTTGAAAATCATCATTTACCACATCAATGAGAAAACTGAATTTAAGACCTTGACTTAAATTTCCAACTGTACCGGTCGTGAAGAAAATCTTTTTAAAAATTCAACACAGAACCAATGTCATTTTAGGTTTTCCTTTCTCAAGCTCTTGCCAAAAATACTCATCACCACTCATTCACCACTTGCAGATTCCAGGTGTGAAAAGCTCCCAGCTGTCTTGTGTGCTATTGCCAAAGAGTCTGTATTTCCTTCTGGCAACTTCTGCAGTTGTTATTACAAAGGTGGAGATATTTTCTCAGTTTGAAGACAGAGTTAAAAATATAATGTTTAGTTTCAAGTTTTACTTTAAAAAGATTTAGATTTCGAGCTATCACACTATATTCAGTTTGCAAGAGAATTCAGTTCCAGAATATTATGAA